AGGGATCATAAACCCATAGCCACATATATGTTCCATTTTAAAAGGATCCTTGGCAAGTTAGATTTACAGTTGAGAGGAAGGTTAAGGGGTTGGTTTCTCAACTCCCATAATAAGAATTGGATGAAGTAGTGGCTGAAGGAACTGAGGAATGTTCTGTTCTGGGGAAAACAAAAGCTTAGAAGGGCCATGGTAGATGCTTTCAGATATTTTGAACAATACGTCAGTGTAACTCCAGAAGGCAAACGGAAGTCCAAAGATAAAAATCAGTGGGGTACTTCCCTGGTGGCACAGAGGTTAAGAATCCTCCTGCCAATGCAGCGGACACAGGTTCGAGCCCTGGTCCCAGAAGATCCCACATGCCACGGTGCAACTAAGCCCGTGTGCCGCAACTACTGAGCCAGCGCTCTAGGGCCCGCGAACCACAACTACTGAAGCCTGCGTGCCTAGAGCCCGTGCTCCGCAACGAGAAGCCACTGCAATGAGAAGCCTACGCACTGCAACGAAGAGTAGACCCCGCTCACCGCGACTAGAGAAAGCATGCACCGCAATGAAGACCCAACGCAGCCAAAAAAAAAACCAGTGGGAAGGTTCAGTATAGATTACTAGAATGGGCTGCTCCTCACCAACAGAAATCTTCAAGCAGCTGGCAGGAATGTTACAAAGGTTAATTCCTCACTGAGTTTTAAGTTATTTTAGATAACTTCTAAGGTCCCTTCCAACTCCAAGATTCCATGACTTTGTTATTCATATTTAAAATGTAGTATACAGAAAAGGTTTGGGACTTCCCTGGTGGTCCAGTGGTTAAGAATCCACCTTCCAATGCAGGGAACGCCGGTCGGATCCCTGGTCGGGGAACTAAGACCCCACATGCCGTGGGGCAACTAAGCCCGTGCGCTCTAGAGCCCACACACCACAACTAGACAGGAGCCTGAGTGCTGCAACAAAGATCCTGCAACTAAGACCCAATGCAGCCAAATAAATAATTTTTTAAAAACCTTTAAAAAGAAAAGGTTTCATTTTGCATAAAATTTTTAAATTGTTCCATTTTTAAGAATGAATCTGAAGTATTCAATGAGTTTAAGAAACCCCCCCATATGAAGCATAACTCTCTGTGGTTGTTATACAGTTTTAGGTAGACAGTGAGTATAAATACCTAATGCTCCATTATTATTTCCCCATTCTGCCCTTGCATCCCCGGCTGGCTGCAGTGACACCACCCTCAGATATTCTGAGATGTATGGGAGAATGCCCTTCATTCTAGCCTCATTAAAATGGAAACCTCCAGCCTCTTGCGTGTTGAGGTAGAAGACACCTGGGTTTTTAAAAACCTATTTTAAAAACACATATCATATACCGTTTGCAAACAAAGTATTTTATTGTAGGAATAACAATATATGGGAACACAGCGCTCTGCAACCATGGGCTCCACTAACTTTGGATCAAAAATATTTTTTAAAAAAATTCCAGAATGTTCCAAAATGCAAAACTTCAATTTGCCATGTATGCTGGCAACTATTTACATATCACTTACATTGTATTTACAACTAACATAACTAAACATTATGTTTTACATAACATTTACATTACATTAGGTATTACAAGTAACCTAGAGATGATTTAAAGTATATGAAGGATGTGCATGGATTATATGCAAATGCCATGCCATTTTAGGGACTTGAGATGGATTTTGGTATCTGAGGGAGTCCTAGAACCAATCCCCTGCAGATACTGAGGACAACTGTATTTTATAGATTTCTGGGCTTGCGGCATGTAGGATCTTTAGGCTGAGAAAGATGAGGAGAGGCCAAAGGTAGTAGAACATGACAAGGAAAATTTATTTGAGATTTTCTCTTTGCTCTTGCCTTATCTGCACTTGTATCCAACCCACACAAAAAAATGTACTCTTTGTAATAAGTGAGACTTTTTTTTTTTGCGGTACATGGGCCTCTCACTGCTGTGGCCTCTCCCATTGCGGAGCACAGGCTCCGGACGCGCAGGCTCAGCGGCCACGGCTCAGGGGCCCAGCCGCTCCGCTGCATGTGGGACCTTCCCGGACTGGGGCACGAACCCGTGTCCCCTGCATCGGCAGGCAGACTCTCAACCACTGCGCCACCAGGGAAGCCCAATGAGTTAGACTTTTAAGCAGGGTGTTTTTTTTTTAAGGTTAACTGGACTCTTGGGCTTAAGTCCGTATCACTTCTACAGCAATTTACAAAGCACATTTCACAACATGGTAAAATGGGTATCACTATCTCATTTTTCAGAGACTGGTGCAGCCCAGATACAAGGAGACCTGGAACCCAAACTTAGGTTCAACTCCAACTGCTGTGCTCCGCCTCCAGAGCACAGTGCCTGTAGAAGAGCCCAACCTCACACCCAATCCCATAGCCTCTTGAGATTCCTGGGTAGGGAGCAAAGAGTACAACAGAAGTGGACTCACTCTGCCCTGAGTGGTAGGCAGTCTGAGGGAGCCATGTGACAGAGCGGCCTATGGGAAGAGGCAACAGGATAACCAGGTTCAGAGAAGCTAGGAAAACTGGAGCAGAGCAAAGATGACACAAGTCAGGCAGAGGAGCACCAAGGCTGCCTTGAGAGCTGGGCTGCCTGTCTCTGTTTTGCTACAAACAGCTTTACTCATTGGAGGAAGAGGACAGTGCAAGCTGCTCTAGTTAACACTTCTTCCCATTGTTGCCCTAGGTGAATAGTATTACAGATCTTTGTCATTCTTGTCTGTTAAGCTAAGTTACTGCTTCCCTTGTCCTTAGCTATTTGAATGTATTTCATTCAGTCATTCGATATGCCAGACATGTGTTACAGGGTAGGCTGCCTGGCCCTCAAGTTGCTGACACCATGCAGAGCATGGACAGTCATGAAAAGGTTCATGACTCCAAGTTTTAGACTGAACATTATGAGCAAAGCCCACCTGGAGAAGATGGAGGGACACCCCCCCCAGCCCCAGCTCAAATGTCTCCAAACCTGTGGCCACCGGTCAGGACAAGGTGCTGAGTTTGCACTCTCAGAATGTGTAGATGCCCGCCAAAGTGCAAATTATACAAATTATATCAGTTTAGAGAATGAAACTATTTAATACTGAGATAAGAGTTGATTATAATTTTTTCTCTCAGCAAGTGGGTAACTCCGTTCTTGAAAACAAATTCTGTTACCGAAATAATAGCCAAATATAGCTCCAGATAAGAGACATGGTTGGAGCCCTCACTGTCATGCTGGTAGTAGGTGGTTGCAGACTTGTGAAATGTTTAACGGAAGCAGTACTTCCTTAATTCAAACTTAAAAGAGCCTACTTAAAGTGCACTGCTTTGGACGTTAGCAGAAATCTATGTTCTAGCCTAGGAGTGGGCAAACTTTTTAAAAGTAAAAGGCTAGGGCTTCCCTGGTGGCGCGGTGGTTGAGAGTCTGCCTGCCGATGCAGGGGACATGGGTTCGTGCCCCGGTCTGGGAAGATCCCACGTGCCGCAGAGCGGCTGGGCCCGTGAGCCATGGCCACTGAGCCTGCGCGTCCGGAGCCTGTGCTCCGCAGCGGGAGAGGCCACAACAGTGAGAGGCCCGCGTACCGCAAAAAATAAAAATAAAAAAAATAAAAGGCCAAATGGCAAACATTTTCTGTGGGCCACATGGTCTCTATCCCAGCTACCTGATTCTGCCTTTGTAGCGAAAATGGAGCCGTAGACATTATTAAACATATAGATGTGACTGTGCTTCAATAAAACTATTTTCAAAATAGGCTGCTGGTCTGAAAGTGTTTGTCTAGCCCCATGAAATGGCATCTCAGAACAGCAACAAAACCTCCTAAGGTCTCTCTTCTCTATGTTTCCTCATTACCCCAGAAGGCTATGTCACTGAAAAGGGGATCCTAGTGCTCGTAACATGTTCCCTACATGAATGGTTCCTGGAGGGTAGCAGGGCTGAGAAGTATTAAACTAGGCTGTGGATGCTATAAGGGGACAACAAAAGGCCTTGACTTCCTGACTAACTACCTGTGTCACAGATCCACACAGAATGGGAAACAATCTACTCTAGCTCTGTTTTTTATTCCTTAATTTCTCAGTTTCAAGGAGTGCAAGTTACACCCCTAGCCAAATCTTCTATCCTGTTGCCTCTCAGGGTCCCACACTACAGACTGTTCTGCGGCTTCATCTCCCCCTCACCTAGACATGCCCCCTACAAATTGCTTCTAACTTATACCATCGCCTTCCCTCTTCTAATTCACAATGTATCAAAAGCTCCGATTGCAAAAGCAAATCGATATTTATAATATGCAACTTTTTACTAAAGCAAAATCATTGCTCATAGTCCAAAAAACGATATCTGCCAAAGAACCTGCTATTAAATGAACTGCAACTTTTGAATTTATCTGCTGTGCCAGGTCATTTAAGAGCATCCTGTTTGACCCTCCAGTTTTGACCTCATTCATGAAGCTGTAGTGTGTTTATCTACTACACAGTGAGCAGGGATGAGCAACGATAGCTGTTTTCTGATGTAACAGAGAAGCATATTTGGCCTGGACATATTATGGTTGCAGAAGAAATAAAGGCATTTCCTAAAATGGGATTCTACCTGTATCATCCAATGGTGGACAGAACAGTGCTGGAGACTGGGCACAGAGACAAGGCAAATCATTTGAAAGGGAAGGAAAAGAGAGAAAAGTAACCACTGGTGTATTTTCTTAGGGATAAAGAGAGTTGAGTCTGATCTTGAGTTGAATATGACCACTAAAATAAGTTTATATAGTTAAGTTTTCCTGAGATACCATGGTATTTTAATAATGATTCAATTTTTAAAAAAATATATATATATAACCTAAAATGGTTTAATTGAGCTTAACTCTTCCAACTCCTCAAATCCTTTAGGGAAGAAATATACTAGAATATATAACAAAACATGTAGCTGCATAAATGATCCTTAAAATCTTATAAAGGAGACTATTATGGTCAATTTTAACCGATAAGGATAATTTCTCAATTAAAATAAGAGGAACTTACCTGTAGAATTTCAGATGAGACTAAAACACTAACCGAAGTTTTTTGTTTTCCGTATTCCATGCTTTAATTAAAAGATATGCCGTGCACTACTGAACAGAAGAACAGAAAAAGAATGTATCTCAGTCATAACTTAACAACATTGGGCATGAGACATCTAAAATTAATGTTCTATACCTAGCAAGCTGCTATAGGAGCAAACCATTATATATCAACATTCTTTTCATTTTTGGAAAAGCTTTGATCCTCTCTTCTTCCTCCTTGCTCTCAAATCACTTCATGCATCTCATCTGGAATTATACTTGGCCACTGTCTTGATAACAGGCTTTATTTTCAGGACTGGAATTACCCAACAACCATTCATTTGAACGAACTTTATAGTCAGGAGAAAAAAAAAAGGTCTTAGACTCTTACCTCTAAATAGTAAATAGTTCCCTTCTCTACACGGATACAGGTTCAATGTATGCTTTTATCAGGCATCAACACATTCTGAGAGCACAAAATCAGCTCCCTACCTCTGTCTAAGCCGCCTGGGGAAAGCTAAAACATAAAGCTGTTCCCAGGTGAAGACTGCAAACTCAAATCTTCCTCACCTCTGAAAACAGAAAAAAACACATGGTTTGGTAATTTGTTCCTTATTGATAGCTCTACCTGACAAACCAGCCACCTCCTAAACGCTGGTACTAAGTGCAAAACACATGAAGGAAAGAAAACCGTCTCTGCTTTGCACATTCTCTCCAACAGTGGAAGAGAGAGAAGAAACACGGAATGCCACTCGTGCTTGCTGCTGGCATCATTCCCTATTGCTTGAAAAGTGAGGCTCCATTGCACCTTAAAGATTTCCTTTAAAATGCCTTGTATGCTTGCTAAGACCCCTTTTAAAAATCTTGTAGCCCTAGCCTCTTCGGGTTTCCTCCTCTCTCTGGCCAATTCGCCCATTCTCCTCCTTAGGTCCACATTCCTCCCCACCCCTCCCCAGGAGGAACAAGCCTCCCACAATTCGGCTGCTGGGCCCTTCCCTAACTCCTTGTCAAGGCTTTACCCCAGGCCTGCTTGGGGAATCCGACACCGAATCACCGTCCCCGTCCGCTCCCCCGCCGACCCACCCAACTTGCTTCGTGCTGCTCCCCGAGGAGACGGGAAGGGAGTAGTCTGCGCGCTGGGGCAGAGCAGGGCGGACAGCTTGCTCCTCTCAGCCTCGGCCTGGCCCTACCACGCACCCCGGCGCTCCTAGGTGTCGCCCGCGGCCCCACCTCCCGCGCTCACCCGGTGGGGGAACAAATAGTCGCGGAGGCCCAAGCGTCTGGGCGCGGCCGCTCGCGGCTCAACCCCGGCCGCGCTCCGAGAGAGGGCCGGAAGAGTGGGCGGCGCCTCCCGGCCCAGCTGTCCGGGCCTCGGTGTCCCGGAGGAGGGCACGTCACCGGCGGAGCAGGTCCCAGCGCCACGCCCGCCACCCAGCCCGAGGGCCTCCGAGGCCTCCGCGCCGCCCCAGCACCCACCCCGGACCACACTCACCACCCCCGCGTGGCGCGCACCGTGCTCCGACGTGGGCGGATGGCCTAAGCTCCAGCCCCGCGCGCACACGCAGCCTTATCGCAGCCGCACGCGCGGCCGGGCGCGCGCAGACCATGCGCCGGGCCCTAAACCCCTTGTCCTCTCGCTCGCACGCACGCACGCGCGGGCCCTGACCCCCCAGGAGGGCGGCGTCGCGCGGCACCCAGGCCTCCGCGCTAATCCGGGCGCGGCCTCGGGATTCTCGGCTTCACCTTGCATTCCATGCACCGGGGTGCTAGGTAGTCATTTTACATTTGAGCTTGGCAGCGGTTAGTCGATGGGCTGACCTCGGGAAGGATTTCTGTTGAAGACTCGCTTCTCTTTGCCCCGGCTTGCCCTGTTTTCAAGTTGCGTAAGTGCCCGGCCTCGCGGCAGTCCGGGAGGTATTTACTTATTAAAATTCGCACAGAGCTATGAAGGGAAGAAGACATCTTGGGAAGTTCTTTGCTCTTGCAGACGAAATGCGCGTTCTCCTTCTAGAATCAATAGAAAAAGAAGGCTGGGGATACGTCGGGGTTGCAATGGTCTGGGGTGTGAACAGGAGTCCCGGGAGTCGCATGCTCTCGAGAAATGCCTCTCAAAACCCTCCTTTGGTCTGGAGAATTCAAAGGTCTGTCCCACCCTGAGTTGTCACTAACTGTTGCTTCTTGGGAGGAACGGAGAAGCTTTGAGGCGCGGGAGCTGAGTGTGCTGTATGGGCTCTGGTTGCACCGGCCTCTGGGTGGAGGTTGTTGAATTAATTCAGAAACAGTATTTACTCTCCTCTCTTGGCACCCCTGAAACAGTGCCATCTGAAAACAGTTCCCCATTCAGGCCGCTTGTCTGTGGCACGGTGAACAGGTCGGCAGAGGCATCACGGTGTGAAAAGTTGAAAGAATAGTTCAGTGAACAGCCATGTACATTCCTCCGAGAATGAATAACTCAACATTTTGCGGTAACTGCTTTCTTTCTCTCTCGCCTAAGTAAAGACAAAGACATTCCCCTATGCAACCACATAAGAAACTAAATTACATCTAAGAAACTTAATAATTTGACATCACCTAATATCCAGCCCATATGCAAATTTCTCCAGTTATCAAAAAAAGTCATATATTGGTTTTGTAGAAAGGTAGTCCCATGGCGTCCAGTTCTTATTTAAGGGATGCAATATCTTCTCTTACCGAATGGATAATAAGACAAATCTCAGGACTTTCTCTTTTAAGTTTCCTCTGTTTCCTGAATTGTCTATTTAATCTTTTTTTTATTGTTTTAAGCTCTTTTAAGTTAAAGACTTTTTTTCAAATTTGTGTGGATCTCTGCTTAACATTTACATTAAAGACTGCTGCTAGTCAAAAGCAAAAAACAAGAGAGTCCTGTGAAGATTCATGCATTGTATTTGTTATGGTTGTCTCTTTTTTTTTTTTTTTTTTGGCGGTATGCGGGCCTCTCACTGGTGTGGCCTCTCCCGTTGCGGAGCGCAGGCTCAGCGGCCATGGCTCACGGGCCCAGCCACTCCGCGGCACGTGGGATCCTCCCGGACCGGGGCACAAACCCGCGTCCGCTGCATCTGCAGGCGGACCCTCAACCACTGCGCCACCAGGGAAGCCCTGGTTGTCTCTTTTAATGCGGAGCAATCCTCCACCTGTTTTGTTTTTGTGGTATTAACTTTTTAAAGAGTCTAGGCCAGTTATTTGGCAGAGGATTCTACTTTCGCAATTTGTCTGACCTTGTTTTCCTCCTGATGTCATTTAATTTTTTCTCTAGATCCCATATTTCCTGTAAGCTCGAAGGAAGGTTGAGAGGTTTGATTAGATGGCAAGAATCCTTCTAAGATGGTACACTTTATGAGGTGCTCTTATTGTTTTCCATCAGCAAGAACATAATAATAAATATTAAACCCCTGTTATTTTTATATGCATAATATTAGGTTGTCCCAGTATCAGTGGTCACTGAAATCTGAAGTGTTCTCCAGATTTCTCTATTAAACTACATTTTCTCTTTTGTGGTTAATAGGTAATCTGTGGGGTGGAGACTTTGGATCTGTTTGGAGAAGAAAGTCTTAGATCCCTGCAAGGAGGACATGGGTTACAAATCCATTCACCTAGGTGGATAGAGTAATCATCTGGATCATTCTGGTACCCAGTGTTAGGCGCTTCATTGAATTAGGTACTAGCTTCATTCAAAGAACAGTAAAACTCTGGACTCTGTGGAGTTTGGGCCACTGTAGGGTTCCTGTGGATAATTCTGGGAAAAGCAGTGATACTTTCTACAAGGTCTTGTGATGTCTGTTTTAAGAAGGCTTGATAAAATCCAAGAGGAGTTTCCTATATGTAACTGGGCATACCTGAAACTAAACCCCCAGTTCCATTCTAACAACAGAAACAAATCAAGAATATGTAATACTGTGTGTAAACTCTGTCTGTGATCACCTGGTCTCTGGCTCATATCAAACATCTGGGGGTGTGAGCTCATCCATTTACGCTTATAAGCCCCACTGGGTGAGATCTATGTCAAGTTTACTCTGTATAACAATGACCACTTCAGCTCCCACAAGAGGAGTCTCAAAGGGCATCTTCTATTCCACAGACAAATGTAGGGTTCTAAACAGAGAGCCTGTATCTCCACTTTTATAATTTTTAGTGAGTCAGTCAGTGGATCACATCAGTGGTTTTTGTTTGCATCAGCAAATTCGTGTCTGCTCATGCCTCTGCCAGTTGATCTGAATTTCATCAGAGTCAGCTTTCTAAAAGTCCAAGGCAGAAGCTGCAAGGCAGAAGCTAGACTTGAAAGTTATGTTGCATCATTTTTGTGACATTTTATTGGTCAATAGGAAGCATAGGACTGTTCAAGATTCAAGGGGAGGGATTCAGACAAGGCATGAACACGAGGAGATGAGGCTCACTGCGGAGTCGGAGGGAAAATATTTGGAAAGGAGCTACCACACTGCTCTAGGCCAAATGCAAACTTAGATGTGTAGTATTGATCATAGGGGTGCTTTGCTCAAAATCAGGTGGGTCTGGATCATCTGTTTAACTTCAAGCCTCGTCATAACCACCCATCCCCAATTGTGATCTACACATTTACGTGAAGACTATAAATATGGGCCCCCATTTCTTTTTTTTTTAATTAATTAATTTATTATTTAAGTTTGGCTGCGTTGGGTCTTCGTTGCCACGCACGGGCTTTCTCTAGTTGCGTCAAGCGGGGGCTACTCTTCATTGCGGTGTGTGGGCTTCTCATTGCGGTGGCTTCTCTTGTTGCGGAACACGGGCTCTAGGTGCGGGAGCTCAGTAGCTGTGGCTCACGGGCACTAGAGCACAGGCTCAGTAGTTGTGGTGCACGGGCTTAGTTGCTCCGCAGCACGTGGGATCTTCCTGGACCAGGGATTGAACCCGTGTACCCTGCATTGGCAGGCAGATTCTTAACCACTGCGCCACCAGGGAAGTACCCCCCCCCCGTTTCTTTTTGTTTACAAATTTCTTGGTTCAACTGCTTCTCCCTTACAAAAGCATTGTTTTTTTGTTTTTTTTTTCCCTATGGGAAGGAAAAAGAATAGGGGCGTGAAATGTACATTTAAAAATTATTTATGGTATTTTGGAGGTTCTCTGAAAATAATAGAGGTGGAAATAGGAGTTAAAATGGGTGTACAACAAAATTATTTGTGGATAGTAGCAGTGTAAGTCTAGGCACTGGACTTCTTTGACACTGTGTAAATATTCAGATCTGAATCCCTGGTTGTGATTCTTTTTCTGGCTCCAGCCCTGGCAGGTAGCTGTGCCCTTTGCAAAGGGTAAAGTGATTGCTACCTGCTGATGCCTTTATCACAACCATTCTTCACCTCACCTTGGCTGACACTTCACCTCACTAAGTAAAGGAAATCCATTGGTAACAAAACTAGGAAGGGTCCATTGCAAATAGAGTAATATACGGAAAAAAATAGACCTCTGTATTTGGAAGGATGCTTTAGGACACTGATATTATATCTTACAAATTCTGTATTTTTATTTTTGAAAAGTTATATTCCGATACCTGTTTTTAAAATGTTTTGAATGTCCTATGAATAATGAGTGGATATATGTGCTCATAGATGGCAAAACCTCCCTAGGATGCAAAACAGAGCCATGGACAGCAGACTAGGGGGACGAAATCCTCTCAAGTGAAATGATTGGGAAGAAAAGGTCCAAAACCTTCGAGAGCTTATTTCCTTCGAGGCAGTTTCCTTGTTCCTTGTGTAGCGTTTATTCAGCTTGTGATTCAGTTATCTATTGCATCTCATATATTAAAAATATCCATTTAGTATTTCTCACGATTCTGAGGGTTGGTTGGCTGACTCCTCTGTGGTTGTGTCTGGATTTACTCACACAGTTATATTCAGCTCTAACAGGGGCTGGCAAAAGTTTCTGTAAGGGGTGGTAGCTCGTGCATATTTTAGGTTTTGTGTCTGTTGCATATTCTTCTTTGTTATTCATTGATAATTTTTTTTTTTTTTTTTTTTACAAACCTTTAAAAAGCAAAAGCTATTCGTAGCTCAAGGGCCCTACAAAGAAACAGGCTGAGGGCCAGATTTGGTCCGCAGGCTGTGGTTTGCCAACCCCTGAACTGGAAAGTCAGCTAAGCTGAAGGTCAAAGGTGACCTCACTTACATGTCTGGCACTTGGTGATGCCATCCACTGAAGGCCATGGTTCTCCTTCTGGAGAATCTTCAGGGCTTCTCGTCCTCCAGGGGCTCCATTGTCAGTCTGTGGGCAGCGTCCAAGACAGTGGAGGTGGAAGCTGTCAGACTCGTTAAGGCATAGCTGGGGAATCACACAGGGTCACATATGCCACATTCTGTGGATTAGAGGAGACCACGAGGCCAGCCCAGATTGAAGGGATGGGCAGCCAGACTCCCTGTCAGTGGGAGGAGCTGCCGATGTCCTGGCCACAGCCAGCTTAACTAAGTGGAGGATTTCTGCTGTCCGCATCACCCAGGGAGATGGAGGGCTGATGCTGACCTTGACATTAGCTTGGCTCTCAGAGCCTTATTCAGATAACTTCACATTGAGTCATAAAACTATGGATTTCTGATCTCTGATGGCAGCTACTGTTCTTACTCTTCCTTTTGACCATATCACCCCAGACTGTTTTGAATTCTGTGAGCACTCACTCATTTCCCTCAGTACTAGTTTATAGGTGTCTCTGCTAAGAGATATCAGCTCTTTGAAGGAAGGACCATGCCCTACCACTCTGCCTTGCTGTGATATATCTTCAATAGATAGGTACGGAATTTAATTAAATAGCCTAACTAAGGTTTAACATCAGGTTATTTGCTTACTTCATAAAAGCAAAACTAATTTAAGAATCTTGCACATTACCTCCAAATTCTGGAAGAAC